GCGGAAGAAACAAGCCATTCACTGACCTCTTCATGTTCAACGGTATGAGCAAGTGGAAGTATAACCTGCCCTCCGAATCCTCCAACCCGAGCACCCGAAAAACTGCAGGGCCCGACTTTGATTGCCGCTGCTGCATATGCATCGATACTGTTGTCTACCCATTCTGACCTATGCTCCCTCAGAAAACGAAGCAGAATTGCCGGAGGCACGTTCTAGACCGAAAAAAAAAAGTATTTTTGCCACACAGGAGAGTTATAATCCTTACTTGGGTCATCTATAAGTAACAATAACCGGACAAACCTGTAAAAGCATCGAGGCTTTTGCACATAGAACTGTGTTGCTAACAAGGGGGAACCCGTTACCGAAAGCAAGATTCAAACCCATTAGCTTGTCGGGTGAAGAGTTCACAAGAATCGTCACGTCATCCATGCCATCGCCTATGACTGACCATCCTTCATCGGCGAATCCATTAACAGCTTCATTGAAGCCCCTGTAAGGAACGTATCAGATACCGAATAGAGATTAGAGACCGAGTAAAACGGGAACCGATAATGAGTTTATATAAACCTGCTTAGCCTCTGACTAAGAGCTCGTAAGGCAGCCGGACGTCGGCCCCAACCGTTATTAACGTTAGTCTGAGAAACCTCCTGAGCTATCTGCTTGAGCTGGCGTAGAGCCTTGACACCGACATCGAAAAAGTAAGGAAAGTTTATTAAGCTCTCATTTCTTATTTTCAAGTACAGATTACAATGTAATGTTATTAGAGACTTGAAAGACACTGTTAAAATATCATAATTTTAAAGCTAAAAACTTTGAATATTTATGGATTAGATAAGTCACCGCCATTGTTGTCTTCTGTGCAAGAACTTTTGGTGACTCGTAAAGCGGGCGTAAGACCTCAGGCACGCTACTTGCCTGTTTGAAAAGAAAGAAGATGGTAAATGTTAAGTAAAAACACCGGCAAGACTAGGTTTCTATACTTTAAAATAAGCAGAAAGTGGTGGTTAATTACCTCGAAATCAATATGATCCACAATGTGTATGATTGAACCGCCACCTTCGCACGGTCGTATCAAATACCCACTTGGAAGCATCTCGGCTCTGACGAAATGCTGAACCGGTGGCATATTAGGACCATTTTGAGTGTTTGTAAGCGATCTCTCACACACCTGTAGTTCGTTAATCCGTGTGAAGAGGGGTTGATAACCGATAAGGAGAAGAGAATAGACGGGAAAGCATTCATTATGAGCCACATACCACGAGGCTGCCGTCTTCTAAAACAGAAGTATAACGCAGCAGCCAGAAATCGCGAGGTGGTGCCAATGTCGTCGGTGCATAGAGCTGTGAAATTAAACGAGAATAAAATAACGGTGAAATGCTTTCAGTCATGGAAAATAAAAATCATAAATCCACGAGGTGGGTAAAGGTGTTAACCTGCATATAAAGCAGCTCGATGGTTCCACCGTTTGTGGTTGGAAGCACGTTCAAAACGTCCACGGCTCGGCACTCACGGAACCACAAAGGCCGATCCTTAACGATTTCCACGACCTAAAAGACAAGGAAAGTTGTCATCTTTGCTAAATACCACCGTGTAAGATGACAAAGAGAATTTTCTACATCTACAAACACATACATACCCTCGTAGGCTCAAGGCCAACCAAGCCGCAAGCCCGTGCTGCTACACCGGTGGTACCATGAGAAATTGCAATGATTCCAATGGAATCCGGACCAGGCTGTTACAAAATCCAAGAAAAACAAAATTCGCCTATGAAAACGTATAGCATGCCAACTAACAGGAAGAACATTTAGAAATATTACATGTAAAAAAGCCATCGATTTTGTAAAATAGACCGCAAATATCTATCATCAACAGGAATGTAAACACATGGATACGTAAATGTCGATAGCATACCTTCATTCCGGGCATCTGGACCCACTCAACTGCGGTTCCAGTAGCCTTCGAAAGAAACTCTGCTAAAGTTTCTTCTGCAATGGACAAAAGCCTGAAAGCACAGTTTTACACATTTGAACTTTGAAGAATTTCACTCACATCTATCTCTTTCTCGGAGACAGAGATTCAAACATCAGCATCAACATCAACATCAATATCAACACCGTCTTAATATAAGAGTTTATTTAGGGTCGGCCGCATGAATTCTTCGTTTTCACTCATTCCTATTTTGAGTTAGTTCTTTCGAAAAGAAAGTTGGTGAAACAATGTGGAAACAAGTAATATATATGGAAAATGACACAACAACCATATTTCCACTTAAAAGAACCAACCCTGCAGGACTAGCATCTCTCGGCGGATGCTGTGATGCCAATTGTTGTTGACCACTCGTCAATGCGGATTCACAGCTTGTGTCTTTGGTTGGAAGTGATGTCTGAAAAACAAAAATCAACTCTTGAGTTTTGATAAAAACAAAAAAAAATGAAAAAAAATGATGAATTTCTCACATTCTTGGAATGCTGACGGAAGTAGCTGTTCTCGTAAACCAACTGTGAAACTTGCTTCTGCAACCTATCGTTCTCCTCCATCAAGAGCTTATTCATTGCTGTCAGTTTCCGGTTCACGGCTTGAAGCCGAGATGACTCTTTCCTCTGCTTCTCTCTGCATCTGAAGTAGTAAACGGTATACGTACAAAATCACATAAGCAGCATAACACACATCGAATGAAGGGCAAAAACTGCATCTTAACATTATCCAAAGGAAAAAAAACAAAACATTGGAAATTTCCTACCGCGGAAAGCCAAAGTTTCTGTAATGATTGGAAATTCAGATATGGGTGATCAGAAGAGGCAACAAAAGGATATATATGTATATATACATGTATATGAATATACATATCTTATAAAACTTTGTTCCCCAAGAAAGGCAAATGAGGCCAAACATCAAACAAGAATGTCAATAAGAATGAGCTTTTATTTGAGACTTCACCTACTACTCAAGGAACATCAAGATTGAATGCTCTATAAGAAAAAGTTCCCTCATTTCTCATGTGACAATGTCGAAAAGAAAAAAATCTACCTTCGATTCTGGAACCAAACTTTGATCTGTTTCGGCTCGATGTTGGAGAGAATAGGGCACTCTCTAATCAACTGCTGCCGCCTAATAGAACTCGGTTTAGGACAATCATGATACAGCCTCTCAAGTGCTTCAACCTGTTCAGGTGTATACCTTACATATTTCCCATTATCAAAACTCCCCGCTTTACCATCCCTGCAGGACATTGCCACTACTCCGCTATTGCTTCTTATCAACTTCAGTCACAAGAATTCACCAAATCCACAATACCCTTCCAATGCCCAGATACCAAGTTGTATCCCTTTGTATCAGAATCAACTCTTTTATCTGAAAGGAACAAACTTTATGCAGTTCTAACCAGAAATCTAAGTAGAAAACCACACCCAGAGATACCTTAATGTCCATCCATTGCAGACTAATGTCTCTACCACTTCCAAACCTAAAATCTCGCAAAAGGGTTGCAAGTTACATGACAACTTGCGTCAAAGCAGTGGGTTTCAGAAATCAGACAATAACTCTTTCCTCCTCAGCACTTCACAACACGAGAAGATTTCATATAACCTCGACAGGGGACAACACTATCCTTCTTTGGTCGACTTTTAAGGCGGGAGTCCCAAAACGCAAGAACCCCCTGAAAATTTTTCCCACAAAGATTACAACTTTCGCTTTCCCCAACACCGAAAAAGATCCGACTGTTCACGAAAAAAGGAAGGAGCAACGCAACACGACACCAAAAACAAGGAAATGGTTCAACCCTTTTCTCGTGATGGCGCACGACCGAATCATCGGATCGACTCAGCCCTTAAAACCCCTCCGATTGCCGAGAAAACCCACGATCCGACAAGCTCGAAAACGAAGCCATAGCTGAGTTCGGACCAAAGATTTCTCAGTAACACCAAACTAACTTCGGAACCCCCATATTTTCCGTCTTCGAGTTCTCATGGGAACAAAATACCAAGACCACAAAATCAGACTGAAGGAGCAAAAGGGAAACCAGAAGAAAGTAGGCGATGACAAAGACGTGTCTGAAAAATCATAGCGCTACTGTTTGAGAGAGAGGTTCATCACAGCTTGATCTTCTTTGCCTTTTTTTACGAAATTTTATTTATTAATTTTGGTTTTTTTATATAAATTTCTGAGCTGGTGGGTTTGCGTTTTTTGTGGCGAGCTTTTTCGTTGGCAAAATTCTCTTTTGGTTTTGTTCATCGGCACATCGGACAGCCCAACCTCCTCAGAGGCTAAAAACCAAATCTTACTTTGTCGAATTCTTTTAGAAGCCGAGAGTTTCCCGAAATGCCCCTGAGAAAATAAGATAATTTCGGACCGCCAGAACAATGAACAAATATAAAAAATGAACTGTGGGATATTAAAACAAATTTTGAAGGGATCTTTTGACAATAAAAACAAAAAAAAATGATAAACTTTTTAAAAAAGAAAGCAAATCTGTTTTGTATAAAAATATATATATATATTTCAGAATTCCATAAAGAAACTGTCCAATTTCCATAAATAATTGGAGATATTTTAATCATTTCTCGTTGCAAAACTTCATGGCTAGTTGGTTTCACCTATTAATTTAAGTGGCAAAAGCGTGAATAATTGGAGAACCAGGGGGTAAAAGGGAAGGGTAACAAAGCGTATGAAAAAATAACAAAAGGCGTGTGGGGAAGAGAGAGAAACATCATGATTACGTGATTTGCATGCGTCTCCATCTTAAAGCTGAAGCTGCTTTTCTTTTTCTTTCTTTTTCTCCCTCCCAATAAATATTTAATTATATATATAAATTATATTCAGCAAATTTGTATTTATATGCGGAGAGAAATGCATGGACTCACATCACGTCCAAAATATTATTCTCAATTCATCGAAATCAAATCTTGTCTCTACGGATCCTCCAATTTTGGATTTTATCAAATAACATTTGATGACGCTCTTATTATATTAGAATACCATTAATATTAATCTTGACTATTTAGTTTGATTTATACTTTAATACCAATTTCACATATGTTTCACAATAAAATTAAATTAATATTCTCTTTGCATTATTGTTTTGGATAACTCGATCTATGTGTTTGTTGTTTGGTCGTTGGACATTGTTTTGTTTATCGGTGGACAAAAGAATGAACTCGAAACAACTAAAATTGACTCTACTCTTTATTTTCAAGATTGCCAATAATATTAACTAAATCCAAAATATTCGATCCTGAAAAAAAAATCGTATTTAATAAATCAATTTCTCGAATAAACCCATATCCATTTTTTTAGTTATTAAATTATGATGGAAGAAGAATCCATAGTTTTTCCTGAATTTGAACCACAAGGTAGCATATAATTCAAATTAGTGTGGACCTCCGTTCAAAATACCGGTTATTTTTTTAAAAAAAAATCCACAGTTTTCCTTCTCGTTAATTTTACAAAATACATCCATTAACTAACTATGGATCGAGTTATCCAGAATTTTTAGGATATTTGAATTTAAACTCAAATTCCAATATTTACTATTCAAACTCACATATAAAAATGTTCGGATATATAACCTTAATTACAAAAGGTTTTACTTTTGGGTCGAGGCCCTTGTGCTTCGCCTCTTTTTGTACAATTTTATAATTTTACTCGTTAATAAAATTTTAATATTTAAAAAACAAAACTATCAACTTCTGCTTTTGGTTTCGCTTATATTATTTACAAAACCAAAATAATTTTAACAAAAAAAAAAAAAAGTTATCCGACCGGACAGAACTGGATCACGATCAGAAATGTAAAGCCCAATTTATTAATGGGCCGGACCGGATCAACTACTTCCAAAATTGTAAGCCCAAACGCAAACTCAAGTAAGCAGTTGTGTGTTCCCGACAAGACACCGAGCCTGTGGTTCGGCTTCGCCGTAGGTAAGACAATCAAGTGGTTGTGTGTTTTTCTACGTATTGATATAGTATAAGTACACGTATTCTTGCACTTATTGAGTGTGTTTTATACATGATGTTGTGTGGAAACGTCCATCTTTTCGGGATGCGATGTTCGTTCTTGGTATTTACGGGTATCCGAGCCAAAAATCGAGCTATTTTTTATGTTGTACTAATACGAGAGGTCGTCATTTTGTTCCGCTTCGGGTTTTTATCGATAAAAATGTTTACTCCCTCAGTTTCTAATTAGTTGTCGTTTATTTTTTTAATAGATGTCGTTTTAGATTGTCAAGGTGATTTTTTAAGAAAATATCTAATTTTATCTTTAATTATAAACACAACTTCATAGATTATTAATGAGAATATGCTTTAATGGGTATATATGCGACTTTTTTTTATATTTTTTTTAAAAACTGTGAAAAAAATCTAAATTCGCTTAAAAAAAAATACTCATTTGATGTTTATATTGAACTGGACACGTTTAAGAAGTTTCCCATTTTGTATAAACATCCACCCCTAATTAATTCTATTCTCATCAGGATAGGTTTAGGAAATATAACCCAAACTTGGGTAGACTAGTGGTGAGAGAAGCATGCTTTCACCATGGTTTCAAACCCAAGCGTGGGGAAGGACATTCACCTGGACTTCTCCGGTCATCTGGGAGATGTAGTCGGGCCAAAGATTCAATGAACTTCCGGATTATAAAAAAAAATGATTTAGAAAATATCACCAATTTTTGTACCGTTAATTAATGGTAATTTGAAAGTCACCCATCTAAATTCCATTCTATTCTTCTCTACGGGAGATTCTAGGGGACTCTATTCAGTGACACTTAACGCTAATATAATACTTTAAACTGATACTTAATGACACTTAACGCCCCCTAATCTCGACAGGGAAGGTCTTGAATTTATAATTTCGGTGCTTAAATCCATATTTAGAACAACAGCAGCACCAACAAAAATCAGACAACAATTTTCTATGAGTTTATGAACCGATCATTCATTGTACTAATAGAGCATCAAACAATTGAAGTTAATGAAAAAAAAATGCAAAGGAAAACAAACTATGTGTGTTGAAAATAGGGAGAAAAAGAATATAACTCGAACATGAACTTGTAAAAGAATCCCAAATAAATATAAGTGATTTAAAAATTTTCAAATAAATATATAAATTCTTTTCTAGCCCCTGTATTAAATCATAAACTTTTTAAAAATAATGAAAATAAATAATAAACTTTTATATGATTTTCAAAAACCGCTATAAAATTAAACTCTAAACTTATAAATGATCCCAGAAAATCGTTTAGAAGTTTAAGTTTTAATATAGAAGTTAAGAAAAGTCTGTTTTGAAAATTTTAAAATTCGTATATTTATCTTCTTTTTTTTTTTTTTTACAAATTCGTGTATTAGTATGTTATTTTCCCTTGACTCCAAACCAACTGACCAACCGAATAATAGGTTACATATCCTCAAATGCTTCTTATACTATCAATCCAATATAATGAAATCAGAGAATACGGCTTATTGACAACGCTGCTTTAAAAAACTTGCATCATAAAACTGTCCATACACAAAAGGGATAGATAAAGATGGAGGGATTGTGATTAAAAAAGGGCCGACAGGTCATGGGACTGTTCTTGTTTTTATTTTTTTTATTTTGTTTTTGGTATTTTAGGTGAATAAGCAATTTTGATAGTCCAAGGTTGGTAGAAATACATTTTTTAAAAAATGGAATGTGGTACGACATTAAAAAGAAAATAAGGTTTTGACATTCACACATTACCAAATTGCCCAACTTAATGTCTATTGAATTTAATTCCAAAATCAATTGTGCAGGATATTGTTAATTTCGTCAGTTAAAAGTATAAATTAAAAATAAATAAATACGTTTTCGATGAAGTATTTAAATGAAATTTGAAACGAGACAGATGTATAAAAAAAATGATGGTACCCAAATTTGGATGGTCTAATGGTGAGAGAACATGCAAAACATACTTTCGTCATGAGTTCAAACTCAATGTGGAGAGGGGTATTCACTTGGGATCCTCCGATTTTCTGGGAGATGTAGTCGGGTCAAAGTTCCGGTGAACTTTCGGATTATAAAAAAAATATATGGTACCTAATTTAACTTCCTAATATTTTAATTAAAAATGTGGCATTTACTGATGAAATTTATAATGACAAGTGGTTGAATTAGTGGGTCTTAAACGTTTCAATAAAGTCAGACAAAATATTTTAACCATCCCAAGATGTTAGCGGTTGGGCTCTTCATTAATTTTATTTCATGGATTTATCTGTTAGGGTTTAGCTAATGTTTTCATCACCATGTGTATACTTTTTCCATCTCTTGTATTTCTAACTTTCAAAGCGAAATTTCTATTTAAAATTACAAGATTATTCGACGCGTGGGAATAGAAATAACTGTAATTTCCTATGACAAATATAGCGTTTTTTGTTATTGCTTATAAAAGTTCTAACAAAGCTATATTTACGAGTCTATATTTTAGGTTTATACAAATTAAACTTAACTTAACCGAATAATACCTAATCGTTTTATTTGAAAATCTAATAACAAAACAAATATTTATGTTTAAATCAAAATGAAAATTTGAATTAAATATAAATATAAATATAAATAATAGAAATAATTTTTAAAAATTCCAAAAAATATATTCATACAAGTCCAATCAAAATTCAATAAAAAATTGAAAAAATAAGATTTCAAAAAACCGAAATAAAGTATACAATATTTACTAATAATAATAACGACAATGCAGAATGTAATTTTTGTCTCACGTGATGTCCATTTTCCAAAAATATTAATTCCTGAATTCTAAAGTTCTTCCAATTTCCAACGGTACAATTTTTGGGAAAGTCAAAAGCAATTAACCAAAAAATACGGAAAGAAAAAGGAGAAGAGCCGAGTCCACAACGGCATTATTATACTCCAAAATGTCCAGCTGGCAAGATCTAACACCCCTAAATAATCCCACGTCGACATAAATGGTATTTTAAATATGAAAAACTTAAAAAATAGATATTAACACCACATAAATTTAATTTATTATTAAATAATCGATCTGCTTGAATTTATTATTAAATAATCGATCTGCTTGAATTTATTATTTCACAATCGATCTGCTTACTACAGTCCGCATGTTTTTTTCATATGATATATATATATATATATATAGTAAATTCTTCCAAAAACGCAAAGGGCAAGAGTTTTTTTTTTTGCATTGGCCCAATGGATTAATTGCACATTGAATTTCTTTCGCTCATTGTATTTTTTGTTAGCACATTGAAATGTTTTGATATATTTAATTTAAGTGTTAGAACTTAGAACATAGAATCCTTTCTATTTATTTTTAATTTTCGGATTTTCAAATCAAATGTTCAAAACTTTGTGCTTTATTTTTTAACGCGATAAAATTTTTCTTCTCGGAACTACGATTAATTAGGAGAATTTAGGATATAAAAACTAATAATATAGCTAAGAGATAAAATATATAAACAACGGTTGCATGTAATATTTTCAATGACGTATTTTTTTTTTAAAAAAAAATTGTATCTAATCTTATTAGGCGATGCCATTGCGTCAAATTGACTTCTAGAAGACTGCAACCTCTTTTATATTATATGTTTCATTTAACGTAAATATTACGAAGTGGATAATATATTATTAGGTCCACGTCAACAATTTGAGGCTTGAATATGTTTTCTTCCCTGAAGAGATTATTTATATAAGAATGATAAATGAAGGAAATAAATATGCAACTAGGGTTATAGATAATTTTGCATGCTAGAACTTTTCCTAACACTTGGTCATGAAGATTCAATTAAAAGCCGATATTAAATTATAGACTTATAACAAGTCTCCCAAACCATAGGGTTCTTTAGTTTTGGATATTAATAATAGTAATAAATTACAATTTGTAGAATATATTTTTTAGGTATTAAATGCAAATTATAACAAACACATTTTATAAATAACCACTAAACACAATTTTCAGACTTTCATAAAAAAAAATACGGAATTGGTCATGGGAGCCATGCATAACCATGCCAAAATTCAGATATAAAAGTATATTTTACAAAATGATATGCTATATATTACAAATGCTACGTATACATGTCTACGTAAGACGCAGTTTAAGGACGATATTAAAAATAAATTAAGTGATATAAACTTGAAAAAAAAAACTTTATATTACAGTGTCCTTTATCATTAATCATTAATTAGGAATTAATAAGTTCCGTGTGAAAGCTCCATAAATCCGCAAAATCAAACTCAACGAATTCATCGTAGAAGTCAAGTACCGGAGGATAGACCAACCAATCCGACGGCTCAAAACCCGCCACGTCATCAGCGCGTGATTGCACGCTTCCACTCCCTTCGATGTTCGGCAGCTCCACAATCTCACTCAGCTCCTCTGACTCCGCCGCTGAAGATGACGACGACTCCTCCCATGGTTGCGTTTGCGTTTGACCATCGAGACTGACCGTGGCGGCGCGTGAATGCACGCTCAAGTCTGCCATGTCGCTCAGCTCGTCTGACGTCTCCTCCGCAGAGGAAGACGACTCCGCCGGTGACTGCTGCAGCGGTCGCGGTTGCCTTTGCGTTTGACCCTCAATCCCGGCCATTGAAACGCATGATGACTCCGACGTATGCGACGTTTGAGTTTGACACATCGCGGCGGCCTCTGCGGCAGCGGCCTGGATGTCGTGCGGAGAAGTAGTCGCCGGACGTGGCAAAACAGAGGCGAGTTCAGGGAAATTGAGGACGGCGGAGGAGCCTTTGAGGCTGAGGGCGGCGACGTCGTGTGCACGCGCCGCCATCTCCGCCGTAGGTGAGTCTCCCAGTGGACCACTGAAAGGAAAGTTGATTCCATCTCCTATACCGGAAGAGATCAAAAGACTAAAGTCTGGTCTGCGTGAAAACAATGTGAAGGCCAGGTAGTTTAATTATCATAGGTTATTTGGTCATGGTTGAAATTGTGTTCTTGCTAATTGACTTTTTGTGGTTGCAGGGAACGTGTAAAAATTTTCACTGAAGCTTCTTCTGTATTTAACAAGTTTTTCCCAAGTGTGCCTACAAAGAAGAGGTCTCGACCAGAAGGTTTTTCTTGCGACCGGTCCGGTGATCGCTTGGTTTTAGGGTCAGGCTTAGGTAAAATGGGAATTCAGGGTCAGACTCTGGCTGGTGGGTTTGAGCTTGAGCAACAAAAGTCAGATGAACGATTTTCCCCAACTTCTCTTCCGTACACCTCTGTACATTGAGTGCATAGTGTCCGTGTTTTTCTTCTTGCTTCGAGGATGGCTTTCGGACAAGTGGGTGGTTGTTGTATGATCAGATTTGTCTGAACTGGCTGATGAAGATGATGCTGGTGATGGTGATGAAGTTTTTATTGGTTCTTTCATCTTCTTTTGAGAAGGATACTCTTTTTTTTTTTTTTGTATGTGTGAATTGGGAATTGTAGTTTTTTTTTTGGATGTTGGGTTGAAAGAGAGAGAGAGGGAGGGTTTATATATAGAGAGAGTTTTAGAGAGGAGTGGAAAGTGCATGTATGAATTCCAAGACACTTAGATTTTGGAATATAATATCATCATGATCATCATCATCATCATCGTGGACGATTTAATTTGTAACCTTAGATGACATCATAAAAAGCAGTAGTTGCAAGATACTAGAAAATAAAACCGGTCCATATTTAGATTCATGTGACAAATTAAATCCTTTTGAGCATTGGAATAACATAGAGAATTTTCTTTTTTGTTTTTTGAGATGATATTATATGTCTAGCAATATCTATAACTACTGTTACAATATCAAAATATTGTCAAATTATGTTATTATAATTTTCAATATTTTGGTGGAGATGTGACAAACTGTGAAGAAAACAAGATACATATGAATAACATTCAACTATTCAAGTTAGGCGCTCCTTTGTAAGTGACACTTAGCCAACCCTCGTTTTACTATTAATTTCTTCACAACAATAATGGATTATACACAAACAAAAAATAATATCCCAAATAATAAATTTTAAAATATCCATTTGATAAAAAAAATCCACATAAAAAAAAAAGAAGCATCTGGACAAAAGTTGAAGTTCAGGATAATGCTTGAACGGTTAAACCCTTGTGGCCAATACTTGTAATTAACAACGGTTCCTACCAAACATTTGTGCGCATATGTTATACACACACATATATATGTATATATATATATAATGGTTTGAACAAATTAACTGTAACAAAATATCTCATAAAAAAAACTGTAATAAAATATTTGTTGTGTTTGTGAACTTAATTCCTTTTTCATTTCGTCCGAAAAAAATTATTGTGCATAAGATCAAAATTCTTTGTAAAAAAAAAACAGCTCTACGTGACGTTTTCTAAGATATGTGACGGACAAAGGTTTTGTGGGTAGTTCGAATTTTAAAATTTGTACTGTATAATTCTAATTTAAATATTACTGTTATATGAATTTTTAAAATTTTTATGCCATGCGTAATAAAAATTCAACAATATAATATAGCATAATTAAAACATTTTGTTTCTCCGAGTATCAATTTATATTAATCTAAAGTTGTAAAAGTTTAAATTCCAAGATCAACGTTATAATAAAATTTATTGCCTTATCCCGTCGTCACCTTGAGATTCTTCTGTCGAACGTCGCTTTCTTTTGCCCGTTGAGATTATTTTTCAAAATATAAAAAAAAATAATCTCAAAATGATGGCAACTCCTCCCCATTTATCGTGTTCCAACATTGCCTTTTTAGCAATAATTGTTTAATAAATAAGAGAAAAAGAGTATATCCACTTGGCAGTCTAATTATTCGGACCAAAAAACATAAATGTTTTTGTTACTTTTATGGAACTTTAAACGTGAATAGAGAATTTAATTATTAATCTATTAATTTCTAAGTATAGATTCGACGGCTAGTTTTATTTGTAGGGTTGCTAATGTTCTATGCATACGAAATTCTCAGAATCATGAATTGAAATATAAAAAGGGAGAATTAGATATCCGATGTAATTTTGTTTTCAAGAGATTGATTTTAGATCAAAAGATCTGGTTTAGATTTAACTATTATAAAAACAAATTCAATAAAAAATTGATTAAATATAATTTTTTGAATCAAAATTGTTAAATTTAAAATTAACATGAATTAATAAAAAATAAAATAGAAGAGAAATTGAAAAAAAATTAATAAAACAAAATGAAAATATAACTTTTAATAAATCTGACTAACGAGCATTTCAAATATTTATCTTAAATTTTATGATATTTTAGAGTTTTTTAGAATATTCATATTTATATTTTATGGGTAACATTGTTTTAGATTCGGAGTGCATATACAAATATGAAAACCATTTATATGGTCTCTTTTATTAATCTCTTTTTGGCACGTTATTTTTTATATCCGCACCACAAACAAATTTGGTACTCGGCGTCGCTTCCTTTTCAACATTGCATTAGGTCGACCAATTCAATTGAAAATTTGCTTCAATTAAATATAAATAAATATTTTGCATGATTATATTTAGTATATCAAACTGAAAATATTTTAAACGATTAAGAATGTTTAATCATTTTACTATATATCCGAATGTCCAAGTAAAAAACATGAAATCTAAATCTATATTTATAAATATTTTATCTCAATAATGTGAATTAGTTTTGGTATGAAAAATAATATATTTTCTCTATTACTAATACGGATTATATGAAAAATAGAGTATGTAAAAGAAGGTTTTGTGCATATGGAAGACATGTATTGTTGAATCTAAATCAAGAACAAACAGAAAGAAAAATAGTTCTCAAAGAAAATCATCCTAAAGAAATGTTAAAAGGTAATTGGATCACCAAGAAAGTCATAAAGATAATAAGAGTCTCTAATACACTCAAAATTAGACGACTCGGATAAAAGATGGAACAAAATTCCTTTCCAATCCGAATTTGACTCTCCAATTGGAGAACATATTCACCCGGAATTCTTTGAGATATATAATTAGGTAGAGGATTTGGTGAATTTCTGAATTATCAAAAAAAAACTCCGGAATACACATATATAACTTCAAATATTTTTGCATGGGAGAAAAATTTAGAACCTTTTGAATTTTATTTATAAAAAGAATTTCTGAATAAGATTGAATCTCTATATAAAGTACATATAGCTAAACTTATTATAAATAAATAAAAATAGATTTATTAGAAAAATATTAGTGTTTCGTAATTATAAATTGAGAATGTAAGAATTTTTTTTATTAATAATAATTTTCGTAAAAATGATGGTTGAACTTGAACAACAAATTTTCTACCGTTTAACTTTATATTATGTCCATTAGCATTACAATTTGAGTTTCTTTTTTTTTTTATAACAATTCTAACAAAACAACAACTGTTTAAATGGTTTAATAAGAAATTACTTACCCGTCAATGAGGAAAATTACAACATGCGATAGTTTAAGTCAGGCTGTCACGAACTCGTGATACATCACAGACTAACTAAACATTACTTTATATGTAAATTTCCATGCGAGTAAAAGCAAAAAAAGCCACCACCCAACAATTTCTTTTCTTATCTAATTATCTTTTTCATTATTTAATTAATTTAAGAGAAAAAAAAGAGACCAAATCAACAATCAGGTTTCGAGAAACGACACTCGATGTCGCGGAAGAGATCCAACACGTGTTTTTATTTTATTTTATTTCGATCATACATACATACATACACATATATATATATATATATATATATTACATATTTTGATAATACAAACAAACCTTGAAATATAGTGAAGGCTTGTCATTCTAGAACCTTTATCAATATTACACAGATATATGTTGGGTTTTTTATTATTGATTGGAGAATTGGAGAAGATTTTTTAAGTGTCATTTAATTTTCACTCTTTTGATCCACACTTTCTGCCACTGAATGTAAAATATAATTATTATTCACTCTCTTTAATCCTTTATAATATCTTTATTGCATCTTTCATATATTTTTTATTTTCTATAAAATAGAGATTTTGTTTTCATTTTCAAAACACATCAAATAAAACAAAAAGTTTTCTATAAATAAGAAAATACATATTTTAAATTTTTTATGATTTAAATCGATCGTTGAGTTTAACAAAATATCAAAATTTTAAATACCTCTATTCCGGTGAAGTTATATTCTATTCAAATATAGTTGTCCATTAGAGAATAGTTTTCTTAAGAAAACATAATTTGTCATGAGTTTGAATTTAATTTTTTTTATAATTTAATTTTTTAAGTTATATTGATATAATGATATTATTTTGTTCATAACTTTATGTATTGTTATCAAAATTATACGTTCTTCATGTCTTTTTGTAGATCGAAATTATTTTTTTAATAGTATATAATACGCACGATTTGATTATGTATATATTGAAAGTTAATGAGTTCAAAATTTTCGAAATAAAATTTAGAAATTAATCACATACGAAAACACGAAAAGATATAAAATAACATGGACAATAATATATATGTTGGTCCGAATATTTAATATAAATATACCCGCATATATGTTTCTTGGTACGAAAAGTTAGATAATATTAACTTTATATAATATTCGAATAAAATAATTAATTTTTTTTAATAATTTCTAATATTTTTTTGGATACTAAAATCTTTTTATGTTTTAGTTTTTCTATTGAAAACAAGTATAGTTGGTGTAATGTAAATTTCATATATATACTTTTCTTGGTAGATATGTTATTTGCACACTTTTATATAAGTATATACTTGATATTTTTATGATATAAGCACATTAAAAAAAATAATCCTTTTTTAGAGAATCACACAATTTAATGTTGAGTAACACATATTATTCCATCAACGTTAAAAAAATTATAATAATATATCAATCCTAAAATATACTACTTCTTGTCGTTTTTTCTCGAAAAATAGTTCATCAATATTTTTTCTCCAATTCTCTAATCAGATTGTTTTTAATAGATAGCATAAACAATCGATTTCAATTTTTCTGTGATATATTTGACCAAAGAGAAGATTTTATCTATTTTAGTTTATAATTTTTTCGTAAAAATGATCGTAACTAATGATGATGATAAACAGTTTATGTAGTTGGAAAAAAAATAATCGGCTTAAAAATTCGATCATATTTTTTTAGTTTTTTTTTTTGGAAAAAAGATATAGACATTTTTATCTCAAAAAATAATCTTATAAAATCCCGTACAAAATGGGTCTTAATTTAGTTTTTTTTGGTAAAATTAATTTAATAATTTTTAAGAGTCTTACTCTAAATTAAAACCTTGAGCTTTTATACATTAATTGTCAGGTTCTACAACTTAAAGTGGGCCAAAATATCATGATATTATATCAATATGGAGGAATGAATCACATGTAATTACATTGGGACCATTAATTACTTGAGGTAACAAGAATTCAATGCAAATACGTAAATCATTCGTGGACCGACCTTTGTACACCAATTAAATCAAAATAGATTGAATACCATGTATTCAAAACAGTATAAAAATCAAATCAGTAAATTTTTTAAATTAAAATAAATTTAAGTTTGAATGAATAATAAAATAATAGAACGAAATCGAAATTATTTAATAAAATAAATATTTTTGAAAATAAAAACAAAATGTAAAAATCTTATATAAATATATAATTTTGTTGAAAAATCAGAATTGCAAATAAAGATTCATATATCTAAATTTCCAGCCATATTCACTAATTTTAGTTTTTTTTTCTGAATATACACACGTTCTAAAATACGACTAATTATATATATATATATTAATTTTGTGAAATCAAAGCAAGATTTCCATGTTTAATTAAAGGAGAGGATCTTGCGGGTGGAGAGTGGTTAGATCTTTTGTCAACATCGATCATTAGAGATGTCAACCTTTGTTTAGCACCAACATATTGTAACTTTATATATTGTATAATGGAAATTATATATATATATATATATACATATAATATTTATGGTTAGAGAGCATGACAAAGTAAATCTCCACGTGAGAAACACGGTTATATATATTAAATGTATTTATTTAGATCTAGGTGCATAATTTTCATTAGGAAACCATTAATGTAAAATACACCTCACATGAGAAACAGCTTTACATAATTGTACCTTTTACATTATTTAATATGTGCATATATATATAAATTCGAATAGAAACGTATAAAGATAATGTATGGTAATCAAATCCATACGACACCAAATGGAAATTTGGTAATTAGTATGAAAAGATGATTGATCTAAATGAAATTTCAATGTAGAATAGAATTGGGCATGCTACTCTTGATATCCGTTCTAATTCGACATCTCCGCTGAATTGAATTCTCAAAAATATTTGAATATTTTGATTTTAATTAGATTTATCATTTCGAATTTCGGTTTCTATTTGATTATCTTATTTTTTTGGTTTGGATTTCTTCGTTATAGAAACATTACACTTGTTCGTTTTTTATGTTATAAATATTTATTGCCGAAATTTTTTTATTTTAAAATTATTTTTATATTCAGTTTGAATTCATTTTTTTTAATTATAAAAACTATCTTATTCCATTAATTCAGTTGGATTAGATTGGGTATAAACTAAAGAATATAATGAGGAGCGAAACCCAAAAAAAATCCTAAACTTTACTACTTACTACAATTAAATCCCACACTTAAAACTCCTTAATTAAATCCTCAATTAAACAAATTAATTAAAAAAACCATAAACAAATTAATGAAAAACTAGTTTTAATGTATCAAATAGAAAAAGATCTATAACTAGAAATTCAAGGACAAGTTTGTGATATCAGGACAGAAATGATATCCAAAGGTGTGGCGATGTGTATATTTGGGGTTTGAAGAAACGAGCATCTCTTTGTCGGATGGATGCTATTAGAGCTACATGTAGGCCCAATAAGAACTATTTGGGCTACATGTAGGCCCAATAAGAACTATTTGGGCTACATAAAGGCCCAATAAGAACTATTTGGGCTACATGTGGGCCCAATAAGGAATTTATAAAAAAAATACATTGTTAGTCGCTTTTTCTTTTGAAATCACGGTCCAAAAGTAATGGACCTTAAACTACGTATATGTACATGTTACAAATATATCTCACCATGCAATACTTCAAATTGGATTCTGAGCCTATTGTTATTTCAGGTTCGAGGTCGGTTTCTCTTCGGTTATTTTTTAGTTTAAAAATGTTCGCTTGAAAACGTATTTTGGTTCTATTTAATTCAGATTCTATTTAAATTTGGTGAAAATTCCAACAAAAAATGAGGCACATGTTACGAAAATTAATAGAATTTACACAGCCCAATCGAAATGTGATGAACCATATTAGTACTTCTTTACAAGTTATATGTGAAAACGGGGATATATATGGATGTGGTCATGGGCCAATCTATATTGATTTGAATGGGGTTATAGGTCCCCTTTCACTTAATTAAAAAATAATAAATTTTTTTATAAGATATAAATTTTTTAAATAAATCCAGTAAAATTAAATTTATCATTGCCCCCAATTACCTTTTTTATGGGTCCACTATGTGAGCATGTGGCAACGTTGATATGTAGTTAGGTTTCTTTGCATCGAGCTTGAATTGAAACTATGATTACACACGCATATATATATATATATATATATATATATATATATATACATGATTCCAAGGAATGTGGTGTTTTGACCAAAGTTTGTAGTGTCAACCACGTTCATATCCATGAATATGATTTAAGTGGGAACTGCACCACGAAATTTAATTAATTAATTCATTAATTAGCTTACCAAAACTAAGCAACAAATATAATAAAATTAACGAAAAAAAGGGCCAACGGTCCAACAAAAATGATAACATGGAACCTTTGGTGATCAAAACTCAACCACAGAGAGAGAGAGAGAGAGAGAGAGAGAGAGAGAGAGAGAGAGAGAGAGAGAGAGATGAGTGGGTTAGTTGAATGACCATTTTGTTCGCATTTCTACTCGCCCACCCTCTTTCTATGATTTTTGAAGGAAAAAAAAAAGCATTTTGAGATTGTCTAAATTCACCAAAAAAATATATGGACGAAAAAATAATTAAAGATTGTATAAATGCGTGTTATAAGATACAATTATATATTTACAATAAAACACGAATAAATAAGTGTATTGTATATCAATTATTTCGTTCAATAATCACAATTTATTGAAGAATAATTTTCTAAATTGTATTTTTTAGATGTATAGAAACATATAACAAAAATTGATAGATGAAGCCGAATATTGTGAATCCATGATGTTGGAAACTGAATATTAATTCGATTAAACTTTAGGAAAATGAAATGATTGTGAGAGAAGAAGTCTGGGAATTAGTGGAATTGCAATTACTCAAGGGCAGTTAAGTCTCAATGAATTATAATTAACTTTGGTTAGTTATTTTATTCAAGGGATAAATATATATTATGCAAAGAGGTGACAAGTGTCATCTATAATTATGCATATATATATATATATGTATGTATATACGTGAAGCTTTCTAAAATCATAAACCCTTCATCCATCAAGTCGTTCGATCAGAGAAAACTCTAAATTCGTAAGAAAGCTAATTCGTTCTTCGGATATATCATTGGCTGCTTCTAATGGAAGCATCGCGGAGTATTAATGGCGTCGACGAGTCGTACCGCCCACTTCCTGCACTCTACTTAACCTTTTTATCGATTTGGTCTCTCTCGGCTTGTTCCTGGACGGTTAACACCTTCAGGAATCGCCATTTTCAGGTCAAAATCTCGAATTTTTGTTTCTGATTCGATTGTTCCGGGGTTCCAAATCATGGGTCGACGATAGTTTTTGTTGGGTCTAAGCATTTTTTGTTGTTGTCGGATTCTCCGTTAAGACAGTCTTCCAATGATCATCCGTAGATGATTGTTCATCGGAATTCAGTCACACTGATTCTGATCGTGATGGAAGCTTTTGCCTAAAATCTTAGAAGTTTTTTGTTAATACCTGCATTTGACTTTCATGGTTGAGCAAATTCGGACAATTCTGTTTGATTTGCCTCTCCTAGTGCAACTCCTCTGGTCCTTCGTAAAGGAACATCACTGATTTTGATGCATTGTTTTGTTCCTTTTATTTGTGTTGATTCATTGAACTATTAGGACAGACAAGCAGTTTGCAGTGGACTCTTGCTTCGGTTCCATTGATCAAAGCCTTGCAACTCACTCTATCTTTCCTCTTTTGGTAAGTCCTGTTTTCTACTTTGGGATATTGTCATTGCCATGAAGAACATTCGCCCCTTTTACGACCTGCCCATGTTTAGTTTACTCATTTAGAATGGTGTTTCTTGTACCCTTTTGTGGCAATAGAATCTCATAGATCCAGTTGTTATGAACAGTGTATTGATGTTGAATTGAGTGTAATTGCAAGAATGGTCATATTGATATGTGATGATTTTTGTGCAGGTATTCATGTTTTCATCATCACATATGCTCTCTTTGGATGTCGTTTGGTGTATATGTGACCGGCGTTCTGTTTCAGACAGCTTCTTTCGTGTCGTTCTTACTGATCTCTCATGGTTACTGCATCACATGCGAACGCCTCTCTCTTACCGAACGTCGAACCACAGCTTCACTTGGCTGTGTCTTTTACTTAACTCTTGTTGGCTACCGAGCTTCTGTTCCTTATTTTACAGTGAGTTCCCTACTCATTTCATCGCTCGTTCATGAACTGTTTCCTGTCTCATGAGCTAATTCCTGTCTTTTTTCTGTTCTTCAGGTGCTTCTGATACTCAATTATGTGATATCATTCTATGTTATTTTCCACCACATATCCCAAAATCTGTCTGTGCTAAGAGAACAGCTGACCTTTATCGAGGACGAGAATGTTCAAGCTATGCATGATGCTGTATACTCAAAATACATCATGTTCAAGTACGTTTTTCTTCGTTCGGTATCTGTGTGTTGCGGTGGATGTTGATAGAAAAAAATCTGGAGAAAGGGCACTTAGCCAGTTGATTGTTTCTTTTCTTTTTTGTTCAGGAAATTCCAAGGGGCCATGCAAATTGTAGCCATGGCGGAAACCGTGGTATGACGATATGTTCATCCTACCGTCGTTCTTCAATCTCACAATCTGTGAAAGCAACAGCTTCATTCTTTAATTCACAATCACCTTTCTTCTAGCAGATCTATATGAACATGGATAACTCTACACAGAATTATTGGCTTCGACTACTAGTACGAGAGTGGGCGCAATTTTGCATCTTTCTCTATATCGGGTGGACTTTCAGGTCTCAGGACTTGGCACCGCGTTTCTCAGTAATGCCGACTCTAAAACTCAAGGAGAATTCTATCATTCCTCCGATTTACAGTGTGGTAAGTGGCAGAAGCTTCACTCTTTTAGACAATGGAGTTGTATCTTCTGTTGCCCAATGATAGATATATCAAATACTCGGAAGCCGTATATTAAGCAATACATTTCAACTATGGACGAGAATACGGTACAGTGTACTCTAGTGACGCTAGTACTTGATTTGCAGGAAATGGACACAAAAACTTTCGAGGAATTTAGAAGCCATGAATGGAACATTGGGGTGGTAAGTTCTTGTTTACGTTTGAGTGTATAAATGCATTGCTCGTTCATAAGTATGTCCTAACGAGCCGAGATGCTCGGGTAATAACTTCTCATTGCAGCCGACACCGTGTTCCAACGAGAAGCATAAGGATAAGGAATCGGTTCTAGTGATAATTCAGCATCCTCGGTAGCAGCAGCGGCAGCGGCAGCGGCATTATTGTGTAATGCAAAGATGATGTTTTTTTTCCATCTTCTCGTTCTTGGAAATCACCTGAGAAAATATTTGTCCCAAACCTAGCCATCAAATCAAAAGGAACAGATCAAAGAGTCACAGGTTCCGACCTATACTCTCTTTGCATCTTTGTTTTGTCTTTTTCCCTTTTAGGAAACTTGATGTCCTTTGTACATTCCTTTAATACCAGCAGCCAACATAAAATATCTTTAGTTGCTTCCAAACTTCATTAGAGGTACAATTTTTTTTTTCCACTTCCAGTAAATCTTTACATGCAAATACCAAACACGACCAGGGAGATTACAGGAACAGCAAAGTGATAACTGATAATTTAAGTGACAGATGAAAGTTCAATCATTGAACTTTGCCCAGGTTAAAAAAAAAAAAACTCTTTCTCCATATACACAACCAAAAAAAAAAAAGACGAAAAATAAACAAGTGAATGAAAGAAAAAGAAGATGAATAAGGAGCAACTTTACACGTTCTTTCAACCAAAGAAGAAACAAAGAACATGTACATCGGCAAGGGAAAATGCTGTGTGGGCTTATGCAGTTTCTGCTCTTCTAACTTCAAACAAATCCAGAATGACCCCGAAAGAGAAACCAAAGAAAAGACAGGGACCTCCACCTCTCAGATTTCTTCCTTCCCATTTTCAGATGACCAAAACACACTTCAATAGCCAACAAGATATTTTCCATAAACTTTACGGATTGATCAACGAGTATCTCTATCGTGAGGCATCAAGATACTCTCTTTGTGTCTCGGGCAGCCGCTACATGATCCTGCATTATGAACAAATATGTCTCTCTTCATCAAAGTAAACAGATTTCTATGTGCTTCACTATGAAGGTAGGGACTATCCGACTAAGCTTATGTCTTGTGAAGAGACAAACAGGCGTTTGCTTATATAATATGTTCCCTACCAGTAGCCTGATGTCACACTCACCAGGGTAAAATGATCAGAGCAAAGATGATATTAAGAGTGAGAATGCGAACTTACAGAGATGAAATCAAATGCTCTTGTATCTTCTTTCTTTGAACCATTCATAACCGAGGTTGGAGGCTGTTTAGTCAGATTTGCCTGGAATACATCAGGAAGTGGCGAGGGATATCCTCCACTAGTACCGGCAGGGAAACCACTTCCACCGCTCTGAGCATTCACGTTACCAAGCTGCTGGAAACTAGACATACTACCAAGGAATTGCTGCTGAGCTAACAAATTCTCCATAGCAGCGTAATTAAATGGCTGAGAAGCAAAAGCTGGATTCAACATTATCCCAGGAGGAAAATTGAATGGCATAACACCCACAGAAGCGATTGGATTTTGCATAAACCCAGGAATTTGTGAACCAAGCAAGCCTCCTGATGGATTTTCTGGTGGTTGGTGGACAGCAGTGCTTGAAGTTGCAAACAAATTCTCGGGAAGTGTACTGGTGGAAGATGATCCTTTCTGATTTGAGGTGTTCCCACTAACGAAGAGACTCCCCATCAAATCGTTTATGTTATTCGGGTTTTCTGCCTCTGTTTTAAGGTCTGATATCGAGCCAAACATATCCAGTGGCTCAGGCTCAATCTTGTTTTCTCTCGTATGGTTACCACCAGCACCCGGTTTTGCACCAATAGTCATTCCAGAGAACAGGTCATCTGGGTTTTCTTTTACTCCACTAGAATGAAATGATACATCTGCAAAGGGATCGTCATCATTTTGTTTCTCTTTGTTATTCAGTTCACCTGTGCTATCCCCAAACAGATCATCCATTAATGGGGCCGTTGTCACTGTCGTACTGGCCATACCTATATCATTTGGTTTTGTCACAGTTTCATCTGTCAAAAAATCTGCGCTACCCGTGTCTATCAAGTCAGGTAAATCAACAGTAGAAGCTTTCTCTCTCTTCACCGAAGTTTCTAAATTACTCATCAAACCACTCGACTGTCCACCATTTATAAGGCTCAGAACCTGCTCCGCATCCGGTATCTTTAGGTTAACCCAACGACTAAACATTAAGCAAAAAGTGTAGTTTTAATACACAGAATCTTACCCTGGTAGCCTTTTCACGGACAGAAGATTGGGGAGACTCTGAGCACCTCTGTATGACATCCTTGTTTTCACTAAAATATGTAGCTATAATTGAAAAATTGTCATCATCCTGCTTCCTCAAAATGGCCTCAAGAACACATACAGCTTTCATCCGGACCTGCAGATTAAGAATTTAAAAGAGACCCATTGATTTATATATTAGAAAAAAAAAAATGGAAGGAGTCTAGAATGCTGTAGGAGAAATGGCCAAAGGAAAGTACAACACAAATACCATTATCAAACACAAAAACAAGTACAAGAAATATCATTCATCTAACATGACATGAATTGTGTAAAAACTAAAAAGTGACTTTTCTAAGGAGGTGACTGGAAAATATTAACATTGTTAATACCTGCCACAGCGGAGATTGGAGCTTTGCGTCAAGAGCAATGCTTAAAGCAACCGCATCCAGTTTTGTGGCCTCAGAGAGGAAAACCTGAAGAGCATCACGAGTGGGCTGCAGACGTACACCACCAGACGTTACAATGGTTTCCAACAGCTTCTCTTCACGTGTTTTGCTCGCAACATGACCCGAAGCAGAATTTTCACTCGCTCCTCCGGAAATTTGGCCCCAATTTCCATCGCCTGTGTTCTTCGGCATCCCATAGTTACCATCATTTCCTAACATAACTGGCTGATATCTACTAGAGTTTTCATCTTCCATCGTTAAAGATCGATGGAGATTTGGGCCCCGGTAGCTTCCAATCTCATTCTTCTTCGGCAAATGACTTTGAGCAAAGGTACTAAGTCCTTGCTTTATGGATGCAGTTCCAATGCCCACCACCTCACTCAGGATTGATTTCTTATCTTCGGAATGCATCTCAAAGTTCGTATTACCAAATCCTTGGATACGTCTGCTGACACCTTCAGGAGCAGCAGTGGGTTTACTGGTCTCCTCCGAGAATATGGAAGAAACAGCTTCTTGAGCTGTCTCTCTTACAGCCTTATTAAGTGCATCCCCTTTGAGAGGATCTGGGTGGCCCTTGTAGTGTAATAAATTGCGGACAGCAACCGAGTTCCTCTGCATTTCTCTCCTAAACTCCGCACCAGACTTTCCCACAGCATACTTTATCAACCTAAGAGCCTGGGTTTGAATACAGCAACAAGAATCATCATAACTTGAAATTCCACTCCTAGTAATTCGTATGGATAATTACAAATTCATCGTTTCCCTATAATCGTAAGAATTAAGTACTAATTATGCTCCCTAGTTTTCTTTACATTCGACCAAATACACATGTTCTACCATTCTCACATATGATAGGCAAGCACTAGGAAACTGAGCCAATCCATTGCATGCAAAATGCAAATCAAGAGATTCACAAGCTAAAGGGTCTCAAAGAAATAATATTTAATCAGCCAAAGCACGCATGAGCTTCGAACTTATACTTAAGAATCCGATCGAAATAGGAATCGAGTGCAATTTCGGATACCTTCTGCTTAACGATGGGGCTCCTATGATCAAGACGTTTCAAGATGAACTCGGAGACTTCCTTCACGATGCCGACATGAGAAGATCGCAGGAGGTCGCAGATCTCTTCAAGCTTGTAGACTGGCGTCACCTTGTCCTCGTCAGAGGTCGCTGCGTCGATCATCCGCGATCTCCAGTACGATTCCACAGCTCTCCTGCTGGAATCCATGGCGAGCCCACGAAAACCCTAATTCCCGAAATTACGATAGCAGCTCGTCCTCGCAAGACGAATTCGCAAAGGGGTCAAATGCCAAAGATTGAAGAACCAGTCTCACGCCGTCAGATCACCAAAAACACGATCTGGGAAGCTACGATTGAGACCAGATTTCGCAGGAAAGGTTGCGATCGGGAGCAGAAACCTCCTCTACGGACCAAATCAACCCAGGGACAATTGGGACTCTGCGCTTACGACAGGGAAATGATGATGTAATTGGAAACGGATTGATAGGTTTGGCCAGAACTAATGGAGAGAGAGAGAGTAGCCGGTGGAGGATGAAGACGTGAATAAGGTGATTTCGAGGCTTGCCTCTTCGGTGGATCTCACTGCCTCATTTGATTCATACGAGTTTTTTTCTTCTCCCCCTTTCTTTTTGTTTGGCAAAGGTTATAACATAAATCAATAAATCGCTTTTGTACTCCAATTTTCGAATTTAATTAGGAGTCGGGGATTGATATTCGGTTCTGTAATTATTAGGTTTGATTTTGTTGGTGTTATAAAAATATCTAGGCAATAATCCCTTTCATTTTGATTTGATTTCGGTTTTTATTAAAAAATTCTATTTTTTAGAAAATTTTTAGTTTTTTAAAATTTCGTTTGGTTCCGAGAAAGATTTGGTTCTTTAAAAATATAATATACCGTTCGAAATTTGTGGACGATTCAATTCGAAAACGATATCAAATTTTTCGATTCAAAATTACCAAAACTCACACCTCTAAATTTAATTGTTTCCATCTAACATTTCAGAGTTTCCATTAAATTTTCGTAAACTTCCCGATTTTCTCTTTGAAGATTTATTTTTTTAAGGAATGAGAAACAGAAAACCAACATTAGTGTTTTTAAGAGATGAGAATAATAAAGCATAAAGGATATTCAATTTCCATTGTGATTTTACAAGATTTTCAAATTATATACATTTTCACAGTCATTCAATGACAACTTAAATATTTTTTTAAGATTATGAATTATAAAGAGATACATGTTTTAAAACAATACAATCCTCTAAGGGTTTTTTTATTGCTACAACAATAATGTAAACGATTATGAATATACCAACAAATTATTCTTTTCCGAATATTCAATTCAGAAAAAACCCAATCTGTATTTTTTTTTGTATGAAACCTTTTTATAACCCAGTATACATGCCAGTATATATAATGCAGTGGAAGATTAAACCAATTATAATTATATAATATTCTTATGATATTATGACATTAATTGTTGTAAAAAGAAAAATATATCCATTCAATTATCAATAATGGACGAACTTTATATCAAAGCTGTATAAATTTCGATCTTTCTTTTCCTTCCTCTGCTACATATCTGATAACAGAGGAATATAGTATCGGTACAGAGATGACATCTTTGGTTCACTAAACTTGGTCAAGTTCCCGGTTAATTGTATATTGAGCTGGCTTGGTTTAGGCTATACCAGATTTGTTAGTCTGTTAGAATAATTCCTCCACGTGTACACACGCATTTTTGATGTATTTGGTAGAATAGCTGTGTATAAATATGTGTACAGTCTCATTGTTTAATACAACGAGAAATTCCAGAAATCCAAAACTCTCTCTCTGCAAAATTACTTTCTGCATTTCGTTATGGTATCAGAGCTCTAAAGCTCCGACTGCCGTTCTCTTTTCCGTCCTTCTTTTTCATTTTGATTCATCTGCTTTCTCATGGCATCTGACACTGCCTCTGAATCTGGGTTGGAAGCTCCTATTTCCACCACAGATCCTTACTCTAATCCTCTCTATCTTCACCCCGCTGATTCGTCCAGCCTATGTCTGGTTTCGGAAAAGCTTGTTGGTGAAACAAATTATAATCTCTGGTCCCGTTCGATCATCAAGGTACTTACTGCCAAGAATAAGCTTGGTTTTTTATTCGGCACCATCGCGAAGCCTGATCTGGATCATTCCGATCACGGTGCGTGGTCTCGGTGCAATGCCTTGGTTGGGACCTAGATTACGAACTCTGTCGCTTCAGATATCGCCAGCTTGGTTATCTATTTGGATGACGCGAGTGTGATTTGGTCTACCTTGGAGACCCGCTACAAATAGAGCAACGCTTCCAAAATCTTTTATCTTGAGCAACTCGTTGATACTATGAAACAGGATTCTCTTGATCTTTCTACCTTTTTTACCAAACTCAATACTATCTGGGAAGAACTTCGTATTTCTGACCCTTACCCTACCTGTTCTTGTGGAGGTTGCACTTGTCAAGCTAATGCCAAACTCATTGCGCTTTGTGAAAAGAAAAATGTTGTCAAGTTTCTTATGAAACTCAACGCTTCTTTTTACCCTGCTCGTCGGCAAATCTTAATGCTTGACCCTCTTCCTTCTCTTTCGAAGGTGTACAACATGATTGCTCAAGAGGAGCATCAACGACAGGCTGTACCTACCCTTCCTGATTCTGTTGCTTTTTAAACCTCCACTCATCCTTCTTTTCGTCCTCGCCCTTCATCATCCTCTTCCCAGAAACCTCGCCCTCTTTGCTCTCACTGTGGCATCCTTGGACACACTATTTCCAAATGCTACAAACTTCATGGTTACCCACCAAACACTCGCCCCACCTGGTCTCCTAAACCTCCACTTTTGCCGAAACCTCGCCATGATTCTCTTGATGTTGCTCGACCCTCTGTGAACATGGTCAATACGGCTGTTGACAAGGATACTTCTAAGGCTGCTGCTGACAACATTACCCTTGAACAAGCCCAGGCGTTCTTCGACCATTTTCAGACTCAGCTTATGGGACTTGGTACATCTTCTACTGATTCACAAGTTGCTGCCATAACCCCCTCTACCTCCTCATCAGGTACATTATTTTCTGATCTATTTGCTTTTTCCATTTTTTCTCCACCCTCTTATCCTTCTACCAATTTTTGGATACTTGACACCGGCGCAAGTAGCCATATATGTTGTGACTGGAAACTATTCTCTGATTATAAGCTTATTTCTCCAATATATATCACCCTGCCAAATGGATCCTCTGTCTCGGTTTCATTTGCTGGTACTATTGTTCTATCTCCTAATCTTATCCTTCATTCTGTCTTTTATGTCCCATCTTTTCATTTTAATCTTTTAAGTATTAGTGCTCTCACCAATTCTTATCATTATGATGTTCTCTTCTCTCATGATTCCTGTGTAATACATGACCCTTCTCAGGGGTTGATGATTGGGAGGGGTAGGCGGCAGAATAATCTCTATCTACTGGATGCACAGGACTCTTCTTCTCCAGTTTTCTTTAGTCCCTCCTCCCTGTGCACTGCCGTCTCCACTTCCGATTCTCTTGATCTTTGGCACATGCGGCTTGGTCACCCTGCATACCTTCGTGTTCAAGCCCTGGGTCATTCTTCTCAACTCAACTTCACTCCTACTTCCAAGTTTCCTTCCCGCTGCAAGGTCTGTCCACTCGCCAAGCAGAGGAAACTTCCATTTCCAGTATCTCTTTCTAGTTCACAGTCTGCTTTTGATCTTGTTCATTTGGACATATGGGGTCCATTTCATCTTCCTACTGTAGACGGCCATAAATATTTCCTAACTATTGTAGACGACTGCACTCGTGTTTGTTGGATCTACTTACTAAGAAATAAAAGTGACGCCGTTCTACGTTTTCATGAGTTTTTTCAGTTTATTCAAACTCAATATGGCAAGACAATTAAAGCATTTCGCTCTGATAATGCTCACGAACTATCATTTCCAGAACTTGTCACTAGCAAAGGCCTGATTCATTATAAATCCTGTCCGTATACTCCTCAGCAAAATGCTGTGGTAGAACGAAAACACCAGCATCTCTTAAACGTAGCTCGGTCTCTACTCTTTCAGTCCAATATTCCTTTGGCTCATTGGGGAGATTGCATTCTCACTGCAGTCTATCTCATTAATCGGATCCCATCTCCTGTTTTAAATAATAAATCCCCTTATGAGTGTCTAACGACCAAGAAACCAGACTACTCTCGTTTACGGGTTTTCGGGTCTCTTTGTTACGTTTCTACTATTGATAAAGCCAGACACAAATTCTCTCCCCGAGCTACTCATCATGTCTTTCTTGGCTATCCTTTTGGCATGAAAGGCTATAAAGTTCTTGATCTTCAGACCAATACTGTCTCTATATCTCGAAACATAGTCTTTCATGAAACAATATTCCCATTTTCCTCTCTATCTTCACCCCGCTGATTCGTCCAGCCTATGTCTGGTTTCGGAAAAGCTTGTTGGTGAAACAAATTATAATCTCTGGTCCCGTTCGATCATCAAGGTACTTACTGCCAAGAATAAGCTTGGTTTTTTATTCGGCACCATCGCGAAGCCTGTCAGATTTTCACTGTTATTATCTTACTCATCACACACCCCCATCCCCTAAACCCACGGATCTATATCCTATCTCCTTCTCTCTTATCGCAACCTTCATCCCTCTTTTCTAAACTTTGTCCTCTCTATAACCTCACTAAAAGAGCCCAGAACCTATAAACAAGCAGCTTCTTGTGATCAATGGAAGGAGGCCATGTTGCTTGAGTTGTCTGCATTGGATCGAACCAACACATGGGAGCTTTGTTCTCTGCCAGCTGATAAGACATCTGTAGGGTGTAAGTGGGTTTATCGAATCAAATACAAGGCTGATGGCAATGTTGACAGATTTAAGGCACGCCTAGTCGCCAAGGGATATACCCAATTGGAGGGTATCGATTATCTAGACACATTCAGTCCGGTTGCGAAGATGTCTACTGTCCGTCTCATTCTCGCCTTGGCTGCATCTCAGAATTGGCATTTGCATCAGATGGATGTCTCTAATGCATTTCTCAATGGAGATCTCGATGAGGTCATCTATATGGACTTGCCTCCTGGATATCATGAACTCAAGGGGGAGCCTGTCAATCTTAATCTCGTTTGCCGACTACGTCGGTCTTTATATGGCCTGAAACAAGCGATCCGTCAATGGAATCTCAAGTTTTCGGATACTCTGATTTCTGGTGGTTATATTCAGTCACAAGCTGATACCTCTCTTTATACTAAGCATTCAGGAGCACAGTTTGTAGCTATTCTCGTTTATGTGGATGACTTATTGATTACTGGCAATGACGAATCCATGATTTCTGATGTCAAAGCTCTGCTACATCGCCATTTTCAAATCAAAGACCTGGGGCAGCTGCGTTATTTTCTCGGCCTAGAGATTGCACGTTCAAAACTCGGGATTCACATCTGTCAACGCAAATATGCTCTTGAATTACTGGAGGATTTTGGAATGCTCTCCTGTAAACCGATAGCTACACCCATGGATTCCAAGGAAAAACTCAGTCTTGATTCTGGTGTTCCCTTTGAGGATGTAAAGCTGTATCGTAAACTGGTTGGGAAACTGATTTACCTATCTGTGACGCGACCGGATATTAGCTTTGCTGTCCAAAAGCTTAGTCAGTTTATGTCTTCCCTGAGATCTGATCATTTTTCAGCCGCTCAGCGTGTTCTCCGATACATAAAGTCTGCTCCTTCTCAAGGCTTGTTGTATCCTGCTTCTTCTTCTCTTCGACTCAGTGGTTATACGGACGCCGATTGGGCAGCGTGTCAAGACTCTCGCAAATCCATCACTGGGTTCTGTATTTTCATGGGAGATTCTCTGGTTTCCTGGAAATCCATTATAGCAGATCTTTGTATATATTACTATGATCAAAGTGTAATGCACGCTACGTACTGGGAATGATTCTTGACCACGCAAAGGAGAATCTGTAGGCATTAACCCCCAATTTTTTCATCACTTGAATATCTCTCTGCACCATATGTTTTGTTTTTCGTCAATCGTATATATACACATACAAAGTACACGAATATAAACAGATTCATATTATATTGTAACATTTTAGTTATTTACACTGAAGTCTGGGTATGATCCAGTAGCCGTGTCACCGTTGGCGTTGTCTGGTCCTCCTTTCCCTGCCGGAGAATATACAAAGACAATATACAGTTAGCGATGAACATACACATGATGAAAAATGATGAACATTTATATTTAATTTAAAATAATATTACATGGATAACGATGAGTGAATCCATCCCAAATGTTGAGACCTCTACCCTCCGCACCCTCGACCTGAAGCAAACCCAAGAACGATTAGAATGTACGGTCCATCAATTACATATTAGAAATATGATTAGTTACTAATTAAGTAAAGGGTTGGGTTATATGTAGTGCCTGGTAAGCAGAAGAGGCGACACCGAAGAGGAAGTCATCGGCGAACAAGCTTTTGTTCAAAGTGCCAGTGTCGTTACATGTGAAAGGCTGTGTCTCTTCGCATTGTAGGTCTTCTGCCTTGCACTTAAACCCACAAAAACCCACGAGTAGGAAAAGGAGTGAGAAAGCCCTAAGATTCATCACTTAGTTTTTTTTCCTCTCTCTTATATGTTTGTTTGTTGTGTGAAACTTGAGACCGAAGCTAGGGTTTATATAGCACCGTGTTATTGCTTTGGGAGGTTTGAATGAGATGAATCTCGTGGGTTCATTAACTGTTAGAAGCTTACAGATTTGGTTTTCATATTTAGGGTTTTTTCTTTTGTAAGCCTTTGCTGTAATCAATCAACGTATAATAATTAGCATTCCGTATACAAACATTAATGAAGGTTAGTCGTTAATTTGGATAATATCTCATCAATGGCCAAACACATCACGAGCCTCACCGCTCACACCAAAACCTTATAAATTTGATCTTGTTGATATTATTTAGACTGAAAGAGGAAACACATTGCCCTAAACCTTCACATGAATCCCGAATGCGAATCCGAAAAGAAAATCTTCTCAACATTAAAGCTAAATCATTTAAAGATTCATTTTTCGATTCTTCACAAGCGATTCAGTATTAATATCTCACCCAACCCATTTCTTCTTTCTCTTGGTTTTTATTAATTTAAATTATTGATTAATAAGACTACATATATATAGCTAACTCTAAGGGTTATTTTATAATTTAGCTGTACATGACACTTATGTTTGAACGATTAAGAAATAATTCGGAAAAGTGGAAACAATTAGGTTCAGATTTGAACGATTTGTTTTAATCCTCTAAATAAAATCGATTACATGATTCGTTTCGATCTAGAACTAAAACGGTCCGATATATATATAACTGGAACGGTCCAGTCTAGAACTAGAATGGTTCGGGCCAAGTTTTTGAACAAAATTGACGCGACAAATCGGTCTGAGTTAACGTATGTTGGCTCGAATCGGTCTAGGCATCCGCGATTTAAAACGGTCCAAGTCAGGGCTGGAACGGCTCGTTTCAATTCTATATATATTTCTCGTCCTTCACTAGTTAATGGGCTGTATCTTGTCTATATGGCAATTTACGATGTTTCTATATATGTAGCTAGGTCAAGATGTTCGTTTCTCAATAGACAGGGAAATTTCTTTCGGGCCGGAACCTTTGTCACTTGTAGTTGTAGATGACACGTCCAAATCTCAACTTCGCTCCAGTGCTCGTCTTTCAGTCGTCTAGATTTGAACTCTTCCTAAACCATTCACACGAACGCTACTTGAAGTCTATTTGCACTTGGTCATGTGAGTGGTTCTCGAACTTAAAGTTCCTCTGGCCTCGTTAATCCCACTTGTACTTTTTCATTCCATGATGTCTCATCATTCTCTTCCTCTTCAAAAGGATTTGTTCTCAAATCACGGTTATCCTCTACATCGATCAAAACGAGGCAAATCAGAATCAAAGAATATGAATCTCACACCATACTTTTTTTTGTCAATGGTATTTATATTAGAAATAGAATTATACAAGAGAGTTTAGACATGAACTCACATCTACAAAATCTAATAGGGAGATATTTCCCTCACAACTATGATCTATTCAATTAAACCGTGCTAAACCACAACTGTAACAATTCACTTGCAAAAGAAGGTTTTGCGAGACTATGGCTGCGATTTTTCTTCGTAGAGATTTATCCACATATACACGTACGGAAACTTACATATATATACACGTTGGCCTGTGTGTACGTACCTGCTGCTACAAGTGCGTTTATAAGGTTATCGTAGTATTGAACGCCTTCTTCATTGATTCCTCGACTTGCCCTTCCTCCTGCTCATTGTGTAATAATTATAGCAGATCTTTGTATATATTACTATGATCAAAGTGTAATGCACGCTACGTACTGGGAATGATTCTTGACCACGCAAAGGAGAATCTGTAGGCATTAACCCCCAATTTTTTCATCACTTGAATATCTCTCTGCACCATATGTTTTGTTTTTCGTCAATCGTATATATACACATACAAAGTACACGAATATAAACAGATTCATATTATATTGTAACATTTTAGTTATTTACACTGAAGTCTGGGTATGATCCAGTAGCCGTGTCACCGTTGGCGTTGTCTGGTCCTCCTTTCCCTGCCGGAGAATATACAAAGACAATATACAGTTAGCGATGAACATACACATGATGAAAAATGATGAACATTTATATTTAATTTAAAATAATATTACATGGATAACGATGAGTGAATCCATCCCAAATGTTGAGACCTCTACCCTCCGCACCCTCGATCTGAAGCAAGCCCAGAAACGATCGAGGCATAATTATATATTATATTAGAATGTATGGTCCATTAATTATGTATTAGAAATGTGATTAGTCACTAATTAAGTAAAAAGTTGGATTAGATGTAGTGCCTGGTAAGCAGAAGAGGCGACACCGAAGAGGAAGTCATCGGCGAACAAGCTTTTGTTCAAAGTGCCAGTGTCGTTACATGTGAAAGGCTGTGTCTCTTCGCATTGTAGGTCTTCTGCCTTGCACTTAAACCCACAAAAACCCACGAGTAGGAAAAGGAGTGAGAAAGCCCTAAGATTCATCACTTAGTTTTTTTTCCTCTCTCTTATATGTTTGTTTGTTGTGTGAAACTTGAGACCGAAGCTAGGGTTTATATAGCACCGTGTTATTGCTTTGGGAGGTTTGAATGAGATGAATCTCGTGGGTTCATTAACTGTTAGAAGCTTACAGATTTGGTTTTCATATTTAGGGTTTTTTCTTTTGTAAGCCTTTGCTGTAATCAATCAACGTATAGCTGCCCCAGGTCTTTGATTTGAAAATGGCGATGTAGCAGAGCTTTGACATTGCCAGTAATCAATAAGTCATCCACATAAACGAGAATAGCTACAAACTGTGCTCCTGAATGCTTAGTATAAAGAGAGGTATCAGCTTGTGACTGAATATAACCACCAGAAATCAGAGTATCCGAAAACTTGAGATTCCATTGACGGATCGCTTGTTTCAGGCCATATAAAGACCGACGAAGTCGGCAAACGAGATTAAGATTGACAGGCTCCCCCTTGAGTTCATGATATCCAGGAGGCAAGTCCATATAGATGACCTCATCGAGATCTCCATTGAGAAATGCATTAGAGACATCCATCTGATGCAAATGCCAATTCTGAGATGCAGCCAAGGCGAGAATGAGACGGACAGTAGACATCTTCGCAACCGGACTGAATGTGTCTAGATAATCGATACCCTCCAATTGGGTATATCCCTTGGCGACTAGGCGTGCCTTAAATCTGTCAACATTGCCATCAGCCTTGTATTTGATTCGATAAACCCACTTACACCCTACAGATGCCTTATCAGCTGGCAGAGAACAAAGCTCCCATGTGTTGGTTCGATCCAATGCAGACAACTCAAGCAACATGGCCTCCTTCCATTGATCACAAGAAGCTGTGTCAGATTTTCACTGTTATTATCTTACTCATCACACACCCCCATCCCCTAAACCCACGGATCTATATCCTATCTCCTCTTATCTCTCTTATCGCAACCTTCATCCCTCTTTTCTAAACTTTGTCCTCTCTATAACCTCACTAAAAGAGCCCAGAACCTATAAACAAGCAGCTTCTTGTGATCAATGGAAGGAGGCCATGTTGCTTGAGTTGTCTGCATTGGATCGAACCAACACATGGGAGCTTTGTTCTCTGCCAGCTGATAAGGCATCTGTAGGGTGTAAGTGGGTTTATCGAATCAAATACAAGGCTGATGGCAATGTTGACAGATTTAAGGCACGCCTAGTCGCCAAGGGAGAGGATCGATTCACCCATCTCCCAATGATCTAAATGATCTCTAGATGCATTAGTGTACCCTATCATGAACCCTAAGCAAGTTAAGCCATCTCCCAATGTGAATAACTCACTCATTTGACATTTGGTTCCAAACATCAT